GGCGAAATTTTAGCAATAACGAATATATGATAACTTCACTGTGATTGAATTTCAATTTCTGAGATAAAATTGCCGCAGAAAATGACAGTTGCTGTTGTACGATTGCAAACAACTGTTGTATATATCATTTTATGCTAATGTCGCAGAGCAAAAGTTTTAGTGGTTTGACAATTGCATTACTATCAATTACAGATATTTTAAACTTCGACCTAAGCCGATTTGAAATCTTGATATCCGGTATTTTCGAAATGATAGATTCCACCTTTTGATCTGACTCAAACGGAGTCGACGATCTGGTGCCTAGTTCCTCAGTGAGCTGGTTAAACAATGCAACTGTTGTATCATTTTCAGATGAGATTAGTTGCGCAGTTCCCTCATGATATGGCTTTGATATCGATGCTGCTTCATTATCTGAAATTAGAACCATTAACTGTATTCACAATACTGGAAACATCTCTTTCTGTCACTCGGAAAAAAAATTAAATTATTTCATAATTGAGTGATCATTTTAACGTAACCTGTCATTGACTATCCAATATACACACTAATCTTTTCCTTATACTGCTTCGAAGTAATTTCGATAGATTTTATGAAAGAGAATTAATACCAAATAATACCGAATAGGCTAGGGATAGGCGTGAAAAAAAGTATCGAGCTAATACCATTTTCGTTCCATCTGGACAATTCTGGCTCATTACTTGTCACGAATTGCTTCGATTTGGAATCGAAAATAGCGTAAAATCGAGTCGGCGTATTCTTTGATTGCTAAAGTGAATTGTAATATTATTCAAGTTCATCTATCCGAAACTTCTTTCTTCGGCCCATTTTCAGTTACACATTTCGTGTTATATTACAGGAAATCTTTTTCAACTTGTCCTTTATCTATTTTTTCCTACTTTTCAATATAAAATCGTCCCTTTTTTCTTTTTTGTTTTAATTTATAGACATATAGGTTATGTAATACCAAGCTCATCTGTGGTAAGGTTGTGCTAACTTCAATTTGTAATGATTCAACCGGAAGCAGAGATACCACTAATGCGTTCTGAAACAAAGACATTCTACAGGATGACGCAACTACCGGAAATATAACTTACCACCCTAAAACATTACCCTTATTGCGATTTTTTTACCTCGTCGATAACACATCATGAATATTTAATTTGTTTAGCTGTGTGATACGATTGGTGTGGTATCACATGCTGAATAAATAAACTTTACTACATTGAAAATTAGTTAATTTAGATGATAATGTTTATGAAATCATTTGATGAATTGCCTGCCTACTATATATCTTAATATTTTATCCAAATTACAATGGAATTCATTTGGAGAACTGGATACTCCATCAAAACTCACAAAATGTCCAGTGACGAAACAACTTTTGAAATCATTTCAGACTATAATCGGATATTGTTTCAGTTACAAAAAATGAATAAACGCAATCATTTTTTCCCTTGATTCTTATGATGAATCCACAGAAAAGAAGCAGCATTTGATTCACACCAGACATAAATGTTTGTCGTAACAAAAAGAAAAAAAAACACAAAAACGATCAATTAAAGACGTTAATTAGTCTTGATCTGTGAGCATAATTATTTGGATTATCGTTCGGTTCAGATTAAAGATAATTTTAAATGTGATATAAAGTTCAATTCAAATTTAAAAAAATGCTTTTAATCAGAAAGGTGTTTGCTTACACTGTTGTTTACAGAAACATCAGGTTTATTAATCGCTTCCAATTTTTGCTGCCTTCGATCTGAATGAAGTTTCAGTCGATTGTTTCGCTCTTCCAAATTTGATCGAGCTGCAAAATATTTCCATAATTCAAATTTTATGTTCTATAATCATCTTATGGATGTGAACATGGCTCGGTTCGCACGTCTTTTGATTTCCTGTCTCCACTTTGGTGCTTTAGGACAAAATCAGGTAGTGACATATTTTAGACCCAAAAACGGCCAAAATGAGAACATGCAGCAAAAGCTGACATGTCCTATTTCAGTAGCAATTTTTGGATTTAACAGCCAAACTTGGACTTTTTAGTTCTCTGATTTTGTCCCCTTTTGGTTTCCAAAAAACTACATGTCAAATTTGTATAAAAAGCCTTTGCTTAAATTCAATTTTAAGAATAAGACGAATGAAAATGAGGAGCTTATAGATGGAAATCAACAAGATCATTTGAAAATGAAAAAGCTTTATCAATGGACATGAAAAAATAAGTTTGTCAGTAAAATTATGAAGTGAATCTGTTCTGTGGACAATAAATAATACTATCAAATTGTTAATAATGATGTTATAATTGAAAAAGAAAGAAACAGAAAATTCTCTATCTACATACCTGGAAAATTAAGGAAGCTATCCTGTAAGTTTTTCCTGAGAAACACTATACCGGAAGGTGGTATGTCCGTATTTTTAGCAAAAACTCTGAAAATGAGAAGATTTTAAGGTCCTTTTATTACTGCAAGAAGTCGAATTTTGAATAGAAGCATGGTAGATTAAAATGTCGTCAATGACGGCGATGGTCTAAACTAAAGTTTAAAATCGATTCATAGAGTTCTTTCTTTAAAATCGATTCTTCTTGAGCAGAATAGCACAGTGTAGATGCAAATACAAACCTCGGTGGAGCATTCCTTTCGAAATTCCGCAGATACTTGGGCATAACATAATTCGGATAAACAGGATAGTACAGTATTAAGCTATCTACAATAACAGCGACGAATAATGTAGCAATCACCGATAAGATAAACATATATCACTACAGCAGAAACAAATGAAACTGAAAATATTCGAGACCATCCAGCAATCAGGAAACAGCGTCGTATATTACCCGCATGTTTAGTTTAAAGTACCATGAATATGTTTGGCCTATTGGAACAAATGACACAAGAAAATATTTTGTCAAAATTATTTTTTATCATATTTAATTTCAATTACCAAAAGCTGTCAGCTTTATTTTTTAAATTTGTCAAATACACTTTCGGATTTAGAGTTTTTGAGATAGGAAAACTCTAGAAAACCGCCAATTAGCAGAATTCTAGAAAACCGTCGGAGACATTGAAGATGACAAACTTCTGTGAAGACGATTCCCTATGTGTATTCTAGTAAAAAAAACGCTGGCAACATTTCGAAACATAAAAATTTGATGAAAATTATTGCCATACTGGTAAAAAAATATATGATTGAATTCTTTGTAAGCTCTTGAAAGCTCGACCAAAATGATGAAAAGAAGGAAAGAACTTTGATTTTGTATGGTAGGTTGGAAAGATATGAAAAAGAGCGGAGATGGTAAGCGCAAATACTGACTATACTAGATGATATTAATATGAAACAGTTGTAGAAATATTGCAAAAAGGGAGAATCGGAAAGTGAATGGTGAAGAAATGTGCAAAGGGATGTATGGAAAATAAAAGAGCGCAATCACGGGAAGAGATGAAAGTGAGGTGATACTCAATTCTTCTTGATCATGATTTACAGGTATAAAGGTACAAGAAAGGGGAGGAGGATAAGAAAGAGGTCAAAAGATGACAGAAATGCGGTCATGGAGTTAAGGAAATTAATATCTATTAAGATTTGTAGTTGTGATTCGGCATATTTTTCTTTGATCATTTCATCACAATTCGAAAGGTCATTCTTTACCATATTTTATGCACAATGACCTTCTGTACTTTTTCCCGTTAAATTTGTAACAAACGTAGTGTTGTGATGTTCCATGACCTGACGGACATTTCAGGATTCTGAAGAGTATGGTTCAAACTTAGAAAACAAAATCGTCGGTGGTAGGTAGGACCGGAAGAACCTCGCATTCATTTTATATTATCGTTACCAGATTTCTAAAACACGACGACGTCAGTCGCTATTTTTTAATTATGCTAGACGACCCTGGCAGGACTCGAACCTGCAATCCCCTGATTAGAAGTCAGATGCCTTGTCCATTAGGCCACAGGGTCAACCATCACTGACCCTGTCAATTTCATGACGTCATGCGTAGTCACTATAGCGTGGCGATTCAAGTGGAAAGGGAAAGGTTATTCAAGCTTGCAAATGGGTGCAATTTAGAATTATATGAAGTCATTAGACGACGTTATGTTTGACCTATTTAAATGAATGGGTGAGATAAAGGAAAGGGGTCATAAAGAACAAGGCAAGGAACACGTGGATAGTAATATTAATTATCTTTACCTGTAAAACAACTAAGTGAAACAAGAATGTGGACGAAATTTAGCTTTTTATAAAACATTTTATTTATTTGAAAACACTTACTTCCTGATATATTTGATCAAGATTTTTAGTGGGACACTTTTTTAAGTGGGAAAGATCTGATCGAAGAGATTAGAAATTATTGAATGATTTGTAGGAAGGAAGATATTACTTTCAGAAGTCAGGAGCATTCTTTCTAGAATATATTTGGAAATCATACTCCATATTTCGTATGAAATTTAAGTCGAAATTAATGCAATTTTAATTTTCAAAACCATTCTTAATCAGACCATATATTTTAACCAGAATTAGCAAGAATCCGAAATATCGAAGCATACCAAGGCTTAAACGAGATTTATTTTCAGGCTATGAAATATTTTGCATTATTTGATGACACTACTGCTTAGATATACACCCATTGTTCAACAAACCGAAGAATACCGCTTTTTAATTGCTTATGATTTGGAAGAATGAATGAATGAATGGATGTTAACGGATGGAATTCAACGGGAAATTGCCACTCCGAGAGAAATTTTAGTACGAAGAAAAGCAAACAATGCAGTTCATCTCTCAATTGTCAGAGAATTCTCCTTTATTTTGGCGAAAATAGTGAGAATTCTTCCATTAAAATGAGGGCTGATATTTCGAATGATAATGAACAGCAGCCACCTGGCACATCTTTGGCTGACAGTTAAATTGTTCATAGCTTATTATCAGATAAGAACTTCTCCATCTTATTCAAGAATAGATCAGGGGACAGAAATATGAATCAGAACAAATAGATAATTCCAACTTTGCAGCTACCTCCACAAATGACTAAATTTTTCCTTCAGCCTTTTGGAAAAGTTGAGTAAGTTTTTTGATTCAATTCCAGACTTCGTCATGTCCAACCTCATATTTTGCTGCTTCCGTAACAGCTTCCTGGAAGATTTCTTGTGGTTAACTAGCAATGAATCTCCAATCTCACACAAATTTAAGGTTGTTAGGTTCTGGTAAAGTTCAGAAAAGTGAATTTTTGATTTACTGTTTTCCAGGAAAATTATGAACGCCTTCCCTTACATTTCTGGCATTTTAAAAATTAAAGAAAAAAAAACTTTAATTTAAAAGATATATAGCTTTGTTCGGGAAATGATGACATCCGACTGATGGCTTCCGGAAAAAGAAAATCAATAATCTTCAGTCTTTCATCACAGCTAAATAAAATCCTTCCCATTGGCTGTTTAGCATCTATCTACTCCATTCCAACAGTATTATTTTTATAGTGACAGTACCCAGAAATAGTGTATCGTAAGACTCTCACAAAATGCGATGGCTTTTTCCTGCGACTCATTTAGACAAAGCCGCTTTCATGTGGTTGAACAAAATGCACTTCTGTTCAAAACATCATCGTTTCCTGCCATTAGTCCGTAATTCATCGAATGTTCTATTTATTCGTCAGTGTATTTTTTCAATTTTTTTATTTTTTCAATGGCTGTTTTTTCAATTTCTAACAACATTTTCACCGAAGTGAAGTGAAGCCTTTTCATTCGTCGCAACTAAATTTCCTAAACCTTTTACACTGGTACTTTTTTGGCATCGCACCTTGTTATACTACTTCAGAATGAAGCAAACAGTGTTATTAAATATCAAGAATTTAATACTATACTCTTGAATACACAAAGGCACACACACCCATACTGATACACATCCGTAGGCATATAGGATACAAATCTTTAACTTCGTCATTAAAATCCAAACTTCAGTTATACTATTGGATGTGAGCAACAATCGTGAAATAGATCACATATTTCCTTATTTATTAACAAAATGAGGAATAACAATGCTAACGAACAATAACAGATGAGAATTAAAAGTGACGTCAAATTTAATTTCCGAATCTTTAGCAGGGATAAAAAAGAATTCAAGGAATAGAAAAAAAAAATAGTCAAAGCTACATGTATCTTGATGTATCATGGCACATTTACAATATCCGATAATAGTTCCAGTCCTGGATCTGGTTGTTTCAAAATTTTCTGTAATGTCTTGTAAGCATCAGCAAGTACATCTCTTGCTGCTCCCTGAAAAAATTTTTAATATATAAGAAGCCAAAAAAAAAAGACAAACAGCATAAGTTTAAATGAAAAAAGATTTCTAGCAAAAGAATCAGTGGGTTTGGAAGAGCATCGCCACTAGTTCTTTACAAATGAATAAACGACAGTGCTCATCCTCATGATTCAGAAGGTATTACAAAAAAGCCACTCAGTTCTGAATTTTTTTCGAGGAATGGTTAAGAACCGAGAAACCTGACTTACTTCAACTGTAGATAAGTAATCATCATATCTAGGATTCTCATTCCTGAGTCTGAACAATGCGATAAGTGCTTGTTCACATGCAGCACGAACTGCACTGTTTCTTTCTTTTATTCCATTTAACATCATCGGAACAATAATCTAAAGATAATAAATTGGGATTAAGAAGCCCAGCTTTAAATATATAATACGGTTGAAGGAAACTAAAAAATTGCGTAAAATTGAGAAGCAATTAAACAACAACCTTCATTTCATTTATGGATAGTTTCCTTGACGCAATATGGTGAATACCTAGAGCTGATACACATTTCACTTCATTGACAGGATGATTTATCGCCCGTACAACTGATGACAATAGGGGCAAATCTATTATTTCCTGACTGGAAAGACAATTTATAAGGGAACTATAAAATATTAACAAATGATACCCAGGAAAGAATCAATTCCGGAAATTATCTTCAAATATTACCTGCAAAAATTTAAAAAAAAACTTGATCATAAGAACATGAACCGTTCAATAATAGTAAGATTAGTGTAATAAAATTCGAGAATCGAAACTTCCGTTACTAGTAAAAGTTCTGAACTATACGATACTCTATGAGACAATTGACAAGATGTTCAAACACGATTCGTTTTTCAGTGAATGTGATGAAAATCCGATGAAAATCAAAAAGCTTTTTAGTTTGTTTTGCAGCTACAGTGAGATCAAAGAAACAGTCACTATTAAAATTGAACTATGTAATTCAGTTAGACATTTAAAGTTGGAAGATGATTTATAAAAAAACTACGGCAAGTCCTTCAACTTTCATGTTTGAAAAATTGATCTTACCACAAAAGTATGGACGTTGCAGCTCGAATAGCAGATGACGCAATTTCTGGTCTGTCACACTGTATTGCACTAATAAATGCAGGGCGTAGTTTTTCGATACCATACACTTCTAATACTTCATGTGGATCAGTGCAAGAAGCATATTGCAAGGTTACAGTGACGGCATAACGACGGCAACTCTCATCTGAAATTGTAAAATATAACAGTATCTAGATTCATACTACTTCGTACATCCCGGAATTTGCCGGAATAAATAATCAAAGCTACATTAAAAAAACGGTGGTGAAATTTGAAATCACAACGTACTTAAATTCACTATGTTTGAAAGTTGATTCATTTTCAGAGCAAGTTCACCAAGAAGTGCAGAAGCAGCCTGTACTACGACCACTGATTCATCGTTTTCTTGATGTTTTTCCGCTACTTTGATGCCTTGTTGAAGAACATTATCACTTACAACTTCTGATTGAACGTGAACTAAGATTGCTCTCAGTGCAATCAAAGTTGTTTCGCTATAAATAATTCAGTATAATACATATTTACATCTTCAAGGCAGCAAAACCTATAAATAACGATCCGAACGGTATACAAATAGAATAACAACTCTCACATCATCGTAGAATCTGCTGAGGCATTTAAATATTTGATAAGTTCCAATACAATCAAATCGGGTTTCATATGAATGCTAATTAAGCGTGATAACGCACCACCCGCACAAAGTCGTACTTTGCGTGTAGTTGTGTCTTGCAAAGCTTTCAAAAAAGTACTCTGAAGTTGTGGTAAAAAGGGGCGTAGCTGCACACCTACCTAAATTATTAGAAAACTTTAGAGTAAATATCGGAAAATAAAGCAGAATAAATTCCTTAACAAGATAATTAATTGAAATGTAGCACTTTTTGTTGTAATAGACACTGCAAATTGCATAATACATTGTGCATAGAAAAAAATTTGCTTGGTTTCAAAACTAAAATAAGCACTGACTATGCTGAATCATTTATTTTGAAAGAAGAAAAAAAAAAAGAAAAAAGACCTTATCCATAAGCAGAGAAAGTGTTGTAAGAATAGAAATTTTGACAGTGTGCGAATATCGATCACCGAGAACACGTATTAGCGGACCCGTAACATTCACGACATGAGGCTTCAGAGCATCTGCTGTACTTAATAATACAATAGTTCCAAGCGTTTCAGCGGCTTGCTCCTTCAGTTCCGCACTACCAGATAGAATTGCTTCTCGGATAATTGGCAGCAAAGAAGAAAGGCCCTAGATTTTTTCAAAAAGATTTCGTTGGGAAATAGAACCACAGAAATAACTGCTCATTTACTTTTAATCTCCCGCCAAAAATTTCCGAAAAAGTGTAGTGAACAAGTGAAGCAAGGTAATTTGAATTAAATAAGTATAAAAGAGAATTGAAATGATTTGAATTAAATAACTAAGTATAAAAGAGATAACCAAGTATAAAAGATAACCAAGTATAAAATAACCAAGTATAAAAGAAAAATTGGAATTGTGATACCTTACTGCATGCAAAGCCTGCTATGGTAGAAGAAGCGGCAGTTTTCTGCAACGATAAAAGGGCTTGCTTCATGATCAACAAAACAGATAACATCTGCTTTTGATCCAAACTTTGACAAACGTACACCAACGTTTCGATTGCATTTTCTACCACTTCATTTACTGCTGAATTATAAAGCAACAACGTGCCAAAAAAAATTTCGCCCATAAAATTGCTGAGATCAAACTGAAAACAAGCATGAATTTTAAAAAAGTTCGTTTATTCGACAATTAAAAATAATGTCTTAATATGCTCAACATGTCATCAAAGGCACTGCTTTTTAATTCCTTGAAATAGTCATCATTTGGTTCAAGTTTTTTGAAAATATACGACCATATGATAAATACTGAATAAATTTGAACAAAAATATTGTCACTCCGCCACTTCTTTGTGAATGCAAATTTAATTAAAAATATTACTTGTGCATTTTTGGCAAAAAGACGGATTAAAGTTGATGAAGGAATATGACTGTAAGATTGTGCTCGTTGCAAAAGAGTAGTAATTATGACTGAAATGCCATCTGCGTCTGATACGGAAAGAATCACTTCCAGACACTGACTGATTTTCTTAAAAAATAACATTTACACTAAAGTATTAGTTTACAAATCTCGGAAATACTGACTTTTCTTCCGAAATATTTATTTATTTTTCACCAAGCTAAAGAATAAATCCAAAAAGTAAATGAAAACAACTATTATAAGTTTCGAAAAAAATATATATAAAGAAAAACACATTTTGGTAAAATGGGTATATGTGGCCACTATTAATAAAACTGAGTGTTAATTCAAGGGGTACGAAGCAAATTTTAATAAGCTATAAATACAATATTGCAAAACTCTAAAATCCACAACTACCTCATCCGTAGTACAACCATCTAACATGGAATTCAAGATTCTGGCAATATTTCGGCTAAGCGAATCACCAGCAACTGCTGATAGCGCACATAATGCTTTAACATTTACTGGTGGTCGAGTTAATTTCGGCAAAACATAAGGTAACATTTGCCTGAAATTTCTCGATTAAACGAATATACAGACTTAGCTTTATAAATTTATGGTTTACAAATTTAAAATCCTGATAATTACATCTGCTAGAATAACACATGAAGCAATTACCTTCCATTCAGGCGCATTATTTGCGAAAGACCATCTAATACGTTATCGTTGGATACCACATTTGCATCTAGAAGTGGCGCTACAATATCCTCAAACGCCGAGAAACCAACAGCCTTAAATCAAAATTATTATTTTCAGAGTCGACTAAAAACTGAGAACAAGATGTGAAATCAGGAATTTCCTTCAAATCTAATTAGTTTAAACCGGACTGAAGCAAAAGTTCTATCAAATTAACGTTAATTTATACCCAATGTTGAAAATCACGAGCCACATACAGCTATCATGGTAAAACAACGTGAGCAAGCAATCCATATTCTTCTTAATACATACTGAATTAAAGAAAGAGAATAGCTTGTTCTCTGCACGAGGGGTATAGTATACGGTCAGCAGAACGTACAATATTGCATAAGTGTATACCTGATAAAATGATGTAAATGCAATGGCAGCTGCTTGGCGTACTAACAGATTGGAATCACAGATGATTTTCTTGATCGGTCCCACCAGCTGCGCCGAATACATTAATACAATATCTCTTGTAGAATTCTCGATAATTTCATGCAAAGCAGTAGCAACACCAATGTGTTGTTCAACTGATTCAGATGAAAGGCCACGTTCAAGAACGGGTAACACATCAATGATTATTCGTTCACCCATTTTCTTCACCAGTTCTCCAAGACAACGTCCAGCCATCATTTGTCGATCTTCACTACTGCTTGCCAAACAACAAAGCAACATTTCGAACAGCGTTTTCATCAATTCTTTTAAAGTACGTGGAGTATTCGCCACCACTATCTTAATGTAACTCGCTGTTACTTTGATAAAACATTATCGTTTGATTATTGGATAAATACAGTAAAATGTTAGTATTATGAATTATGTCGAAAATCCTAAAAGTTATTGTCGAGGAAGCCGAAATAATTTTATAATATAAAATATGCCGAAATAATCAAAGTATTTTTATATTGCAAAAATATCTTTGAATAACTGAAGGAAATTCATAATATGGAAATTTCCACCTACAGGTTGTTTTACTCTGAATATTAGTTACACAAACGATTCATAACCGAAAAAACAAATAAACAAATAACATAAAAACAATACTGGAACACATTTTGATCTTAAAGTGATTAATCGTTCATCCAAATTTCATCTTTTGAATTAATAATCAAACTTATTTGCAATATTTAGTTTTTGTGAGCATCTTCAATTAATTTGTTATTTTAGCTTAGCTACAGTATTTGGATTGTGGCAAACATAGCCCTTTGTTTGTATTGACAGTTTTTTCCTGTATGATCTTCCTGTGTAGTAAGTGACTTTATATTCCATGGCAAGATTACTGTAAACAACAAAGCCCTTTTATTGTATGATTCTTCCAATCTGTTATCAAAGAATATGTATAATGTGGGAATGTTGTGAATTATTCCCACTGCATAAACAGGATAGTTGGCCACTGAAAGTTCAGTTATCAAGTCAACTGTGCTGTCCAATATTGCTGCTACCCATATATGAAATCCCTATTAAACGACAACACCAATTAAATTCCTATAAAATTTCCCTACATGGGCAAGAACAACCCAATGATCAGCTTCACCTCCATTATTTCCCAACAGTTGCCTTATAACATCCAAGAAAAAATTCTTTGTCAATCTACAAAAGCCTTTATCACAATAATTTGTCCGTGCCAACAACTATCAGGAAAACTTCCACAGTAGTCATAATAAGACTTTTGACTGCAACAAAACAAGACCCGAACATCAAATGGAAAATACGCTAATAAATATACTAATAAGAGGAATGCTACTTACTTTCCAAACATGACTTGCAATTTGGCGAACTTGGAGCGCAATATCTGAACGTGATAAGTAAATACCCGCCAGAACACGATCCCTGCAAATTTGACAGATTTCTCTTTTTGTGCTGCAAATATTTCTGATCTAACTAATTTTATGTAACTAATTTTACAATAAGTGAAATGTAACTAATTTTATGACAAGTGATGCACTTTTCATAATACCTGCATGCTTGTCCAAGTTGTCGAACAATGGCTTTCCCAGCTGATTCCATACCCATAGTATCATCCTCGTTTAATGTTGCTGACGTCATTTTCCCGCTAACACCTATAAACTTGTCTATTTGATGAGCAAAGAGCAAATGTACGAATGAACTGTTTAACCAAATAATAATTTCGAACTTAAGTTGCGAACTTCATCAATACAGTATTCTCAGCAGCTGCCTTTTATTTTTGCAAAGTTCACTGATAGCAGTTAATTTATACAACATTTTTTCCGTTATGGATATATGCGCTTCGCACGATTACTGTTAATATGACTCGCACTGTGTACCGGTACGTTTTCAAATGTAACAACCTTCCACCAGACCAATACCTATTCAGTTGGCGAATTTCCGTAACTGCACAAGAACTAATTAACTAGCTGATTTGAAAGTCTCCGTCCAAAAGTAAAGAATCACAGAATGCTAACCTGATATGCTGAATAAGAAATCGCCAATCAGTGTAACAGCTGCAAATCGAATTCGCCAATTGTCATCAAACAAAGCAGCTTGCAACTGAGGCAATAAAAGTCGTCTAGCATGCACGCAGTACGTCACAATTAAACGCTGACCTGCTTTCAATGCACTGTCTCGTACATATTCGTTCTCATCTGCTAGAGCTTTTAGTATGCTTGGTATGACCTGAAAGTACAGTGTTTGTCCGTGCTATTAATAATTTAGTTTATCCATCAACAGAAATGGAAACTTATATAAACTTTTATCTAAATTGTAGAACTGAAGTGATATGCATTATGCTTAAACTCTAAGAGAAGCTCGAAAATAATGAATACGATAGAATCAAATCAAAGAGAACTCAAATACAAAAATCTTTGAACTCTCATATTAATAAGACAGATCACTACATTTATCAAAAATGTTCCATTCTACTATTATGATTTATGAAACATGAAAAAAGTAACGAACCTCAGGTAAATACGGGACAAAATGGTCTCCAAATGCCATAGGCAAATAAATATACATCAATATATAACCATCGCGTATTTCTGGTGTTGCTTCTTTCGATTCTGTTGTTTTTATTATATCAGGCATAACCATTGCTAACTGATTCTCACCCACTGCTTTAAGAACCTGAAAACGAAGTCTTTAATTCGATAAAAACTCTAAACATTCGTATTGACAGTGGATAAAAAAACAAAATAAAAAAGCGATCATTTCTTATATGACAAATACTTCTTGAAAGATCTATATAAAAAACTGAAAAGGGGTAAAAAGTAGAACTGGTTATTATAGAATTTCACCTACGTATAAAAAATTAGAATTTCACCTACATTTTAGTAAAGGTATGCATATAAAAAAAACAACGTAGACTAAGTATTTCAAACACTAACTTTATTAACTAACCTCTGCAAGTCCTTGCGCAGCACCCGATCGATCGACGGCATTTGTATTCGAAACAAGCTTCTCCTTGAGCCACGGTATAAGTTGCTCACGCATTTTTGATGCAGTATCTCCAACAGAATATCCAATAATTGCACCAAGAGCCTTTGCAGCAACAGTACGTATTTCTGGGATAGGATCCAACAATGATTTCTGTAATCCCGGCAATAGACCAGCAAGATACGGTTCCATATCCTGAATATTTTCCTGTTAGCTCAAAGAATAAGTCAACTGAGTAAAATACTTGTTGGATATTCATAAAATCTTTTCGGGAAATATATAATATGTCAGAAAATGGTGAATTTTTAAGCCCAAATAAAATCATCAGAAAACCTAAAAATAAATATGCCTTATTATCCGCTAAAGAATAGATGTTCGCGATTATTTGAGCAGCCATACGACGCGTTTCAGAAGCTCGATCAGTGAATGCGCGACGAACAATAGGCATTATCAAAGAAAGTGAAGCAGCATCAATGTAATGTATGAACTTCGTATTGACTACCGTTTGTAAACAGGAGGATGTTTTGCTAGCCGGATCAGTCAAACCGGTTAACAACTGATTGCTTATACCTTGAAAAATACACAGCAGAGAATTTCTCAAAAAAATTTCGACAGTGATATAATACCATATCAGCCAAAAAATCGCAAGAGAAAGCAAAAGTGAAGTACAACTAAAACTGAAAGTAAAAATGGCAAGAAAGTCAAAACACACTAAAGCTGAGCCATTTAGTAAAGAAGTAGAAGTAATTCCTACGAAATGAAGATAAATTATGCGCAATACTGACTGAGAATTTCTGGATTACGGATAACTTTGGCTATCTGTTTTAGGGCTTTTTCTCCGGATTTCTGCACTTTTGAGTGTGAGTCTGTCAGCACCTCAATAAGTTTAGGAACGATGCTTGGCAAGCAAGATGAAAGTTGTTTCGGAGCACAGAATGCCATTGACCCCAGAAGTTCCACAGAAGCACATTTCGTACGCCATGAGTCTTCGTCCAATGCAGCTAGAAGTGACGGCAACACCTAAGAGAGATTAATCAAATCTATTTGTTAAAATTGGACCCAGTGATATCTCTATAATTTTCGATAAAAAAAATGATTGTAGGTCCTCCTTACCTTCTGAAAAAAGTTCATAACACCACTCGTAACAATGTTTAAAGAAGGTCTTTAAGGAAAGGTTAAATTCAAATCCTCTTCAACATAATCAATTGGATCCTCAGTTTTCAAAGCAACTCGTAAAATATTTTATGTTAACCAGTTTAACGCCGTGGGCTGAAAGCATAGACATCATAGAGTGTGCTGCGTCGCTCGCTGCATGACGAACGTTATCGTCGGAATCACCGAAACAAATTAACAGTGATGGTAAAAGTTGTACAATGTAAGGCTCAAACAATTTACCCATCGAGCTGAAAAAATCGTTATAAAATGGTTCACTGTTTGGTTGTTTTAAAAAAACTGCGCCTTAAAATGACAGAGTAAGCATGAAATTAGAAAGGCATAGTTTACAATGTAAATCTGGTTGCTTGTTTGCGTCTTTATAATTGTAGAAAATGAAACAGTGGCAAGAAGAAAAGTCGAATAACACATAGACTGGTTTGCGAACAAAAATTTTTTCGATCAAAATTTGAACATATTTTAAAGAATAAGTAGCTTACTGGCTTACCCGCAAAGAATTTCAAGAGTTAAGAGAGCACCCTCACGATGACAGGCATTTTTCTTATTGGCCAATGAATTTTGCAGAAATTTTATCAGTTCTAGTTCACGCATTGCAGACATTCCGAGGCCCTGTAAATAATTTATGAAAAAAGACGTAAATTTAGGGACGATTTAGTCCCTACTTCAATCCCAACAACTGATTTTCAAGTGGATTAGATCTATCAATTTGATCCGCATCATGAGTCTTTTTTAAAGCCTTTCAAACGTCAAACAAATGGATGTTTATTTAAAGCAAAAGAAGAAAAAAAATCTTTAAGAAAAAATATGCCATACTTTAACAAGTCCAGCAATTCCGTATGCTGCTCCTCGTCGTTCGCCGTACGAATCAGCTTCAACAAGGAGACACGACAATGTGGAAACAAGTTCCTTGGCACGATCTTTAATTGCTGGAACTAGGGCCGGCAAGCACTTGGACACCGCTTCTTGCACCTGAAAATATGAAACTTTTCCAAGGATCTAATATCCTTAAATCTATCTTTTATCAATACTAAAATCTATGTTTTAAAACGGAGAATAAGTCTATTTTCAGAAGAGAAATAGGTTATCATGCAATCAAGAAAGCAATTTCATAATTCATTATTTTAATTACATTTTTACTCGTACATTTATGCGAAATGGTAAATTTTGCCTTTCAAGATTATCAAAACAATCTTAATGTGAAATCTGTTCTGATTTACATTTAAATTGCTAATGATCATATATCAAATACAATGAAAACTGCTATACTAACCTGCTGTGATGGCGTCGACAGTGTTTCGATTAAACGTGATGCTATGATGCGCACTTTTTCGTTTGCCGGATCTAAATGTTGTGCTAACGTGCCCAACATAATAACCAAACCTTGGCGCAAATTGTCAAAATCTTTACCATCTGGCGTTGAACTTAACATTTCTTCGAGAAATGGTAAAAGTGATGTCATTTCAAACTCTCCATGCTGGAAGCAAACAAAAGTTCACTTTTATTAGGATTATTTTTTATAAGAGAAAATTACCATTTTGATAGCTTCAATTCCAGCATTCTGCATTAGTTCTCGACATTCTGGACTAGAATCACTGATTCCACTGGGGACTATGATTTTGATAAAATTCATCACCAGCTGATGAGGAAGATTAGGAGCAATGACAAGCAGAGCTTCTGCAATACCTGCTCGATTTTTCCACAGATCTACAGGACCTGCGATTACTCGTCCAATATCGTCACAAACAGGCGGTCGGATCTAAAATATATCACTGCAGTAGAGAAGCTGTATAAACGATATCATTAATAAATAAATCAAAGCACTTGAAATCAGAGACAAAGTGAAACGAACTTTTCGGTAATCTGAATATAATAAATCAAGTTTATCCAGTGCTGGCTGCAGAATCTCCGGAAACTCTTCATATAATTTTCCTAGAGCAACGGATGCGGATTTTCTCAGGAAGATATGTTCCGAAGTTACGCTATTCAAAATATTGCCAAATAAGTCCCTAGAAGAATAAATTATGGTATTCTAGGAAGCAATATCGATATTAAAGAAAGAAAGCAAGGAAATAAATAACAGTACCAGTAACAGCATCACCGAAGTAATTTAAGTTCACTAAACGGAACTTCATTTTGAGCCAAATCTTGAGAGAAATATTAAATTAAATGGTAGAAACGCATACGTAGTGGTAGAGAGCTTTTCATCTCGCCAAATTTTGTCAGCCAAATCAACACATTTTTTCACCGGATCGCTTCGAGCAATAAATATACGACTTGTGAACATTGCCATAAACTGTGCACCATCTCGAGTTAATTTCAGGTCGTTGTAAAGTTCATGAGGTCGACTAAGTGCCTTAAATTATGAAATATAAAAAGAAACCATCAGTTGGACCTTCAATTTTAAAAAGTTCTCCAATGCAGAACACGCTATTTCAAATGATAGAGCCAATTCAATGGAAGATATTTAGTTCTTGATTCAGTTCATTTATAAGGAAAAAAAAAAGAGCAAACAAAACTAAAATCAACTCAGAGAAAAAAGTTCGAGAATCATTTGCAACCATTCTTATTGATTCGAACGTACCATAAGAGCACATTCTCTTAACTGAGCACTCTCATCCAGCAAACACTGCATGATAGGTTCAAGTATTGTCGCTTGCTGCAAACCTCTTTGTGAGCATTTATTTAATAGTTCACAAAAAGTCTGAAGTAATATTTTCGCAATGTGATATAATTCCGAAGTGTCTGTCGCTATGACATGAAGCAGAAGTGAACACAGCCAATTCAAGGGAAGATACTTCACCTGGTTATCCTGGAAAGGCAAAGTAATAAAGATCCATATATTTTAAAAAAGAAATAAAAAACAGACTTTGATGTTCATAAAAATACTTTAGAATGAAACAAGACCACTGTCCCGCTTATTTCTTTCTCGTATTCAATCATGCCTTTACATATATAATTTCGCTTCTCGTATATAATTATACTTTCGCTCACCGTCAGATCAGTATTCGACATAACAAATAAACTTACTTATATAGTGTAATGAAGTACTCAAAGAAATGTGGATTCATTTCAAACTATGTCATTCTTGCTTAGGAGGGATTAAAAACAATGATGAAGTTAAACGGATCCCTTTAAAACCATTTTCAGAATCTTTTAAGTGGAAAAAAAGGAACAATGCTTCACAATTCATTATGTCTGCAACATACTTCGATGAAGTTGCCTTTTAACGCAGAAGACAGTAATCGCATGGTATTTAGCCGCAACGCATAAGGGAAAGATTCATCCCTTAGTACCGCATTTATCAGTGGAAAAGAAACATTGAATTTGAGGAGATTCATCGTTTCTTCATCATCAGTACCCAATATCTCTTCAACACCATGCTCTTCATCGTCAAGTAGAATCGGTACCAAAACACATCGAGCTAAAGCATACCGCTATGACTTTCACATAATTTGAAAATTTTTCGAACCTCCATGCAAAAATTCTATAAAACTTACTCGCTAGCAATGCAACTGCCCTTTCTACTTGAACAGTAAGTGACTCCTGGCTCCATGCTGCATCCGTGTAAATTGAGCGTAACACGCGTACTGATGAATGTAATATGAGTTCGTCTACAAATCAATTCTACATCTTCTAGCAAGATTTTCTTCCCATATGCTTCATTGTGGAATGAGAATGATAACAGCTGCATACAAAACATCCTCCCAAAAACTTCAAATAAATCAGAAAGACACTTCCAAATAATATTAAACGAAGCTTAGCAGCCCAAAGCCCAGATTAACTTGTTGATGGAAATACAAAATAAAACGAAGACTGTATCTAGTGTGCAATTTTGCTGCTACTTGGAAACCGGTTGCACTAAAAAGTTAAATATCGCTAGACAATATCGATAAGACTTACGTAAATAATCTTCAGATGGCTCGAAAGCTGCATTACGAAAACTGCGAAAAACATTATAAGCCAGAGGTGATACAAGAGGAGATCTTAATAACGGAATAACAACCGTAATCAGTAAATGGACATATTTCCCTGAACCAATTGGATCACTAGTGACAGCTGCTGTTAGCAATTCAGTGCGTTCCTTACATTTCAAATACAAGTCACGCAGTTCTTCTCTGACTTTCTGAAAAATCCCATCCATTCCAAAAGGCTAAGTCGATAACTATAAATTTTGATTTCCGTTAATTTTCAAAATATAACCTTTTCAGCAAGTAACTCTTCTCTTTTTGCTTTCTCTTGCTGGGGCATCAATTTGCCTTCTTGACGTTTTTTTTCAGCAAGTTCTTTTTTCAACTGTGCTTCTAACAATTGTTCCTTGTATTTGTAAGTCTGAAAAACCATCTCGCTAATATCTAACATATATAAAATACTATGAAAGTCCGAGAACAAGTACAGGAAAACCGTCGGCAACGGAAAATAGAATCAAAAAAGTAGCGGCTATATTTACACCTTATTTTCTCTTTTCACATTTTTGGCACCAAATTCTTCTTCATAACTTAATTCCAAAACAGCCGTATTATATAGCACACCATCGGATGTATTATAGATTGCAACTTCCCGATGCGTTATTGAAACATACCTAAAAATTAATAACTCGAAAACAGTAAAAAAAAAGTTGGAAAATAACATTATGTTAAGCTGAAGTGATTGTTAAAATCACGTTACATTATTACTTTATTCTCGTTTTAAAATGTAGCTGATATCGTTAGTGCTTAACAATGACCACTTGTGAATAACATATTAAAGACAATCTGCCTAACCGGAAATGCTGGTAAGCATAAAAAACTTGAAACTATAACAAATAGTGCAAACAGCAAATTAATGAAACAAGTATGTTCAAGGATACAGCTACCGATCAATGTCGATTTCATTCAACAGGTCAGTGCAATACGCCCAGACTATACCACGAATGTGTTGTGTCACTCCGCCACCTGACATCAACATTCGAATTGCGTTACATTGAATCACCGTATCGTTTGTAGAGAATATGCGATCCATTATCACGCGACCACCTTCACCAAGCAAACGTTCCACATTAGTTATTGAGCGTACCCAACGATTCCAACAACAAGGATCAGTTTTTACTGAAATAAAATAAACAGCTGTAACTTAGTTATTAGCCGGTGACACTGCCAAAGTGTCCATTAACATATCTGTAAACGCACGTTACAAACGTTACAAAATAACATCAAAGGTTAAAAACTAACTCACGCTGGAGAACTAGACTCACGGCCTCTAATCTTTTGGTACTGAAAAAGCAACGACATATAAAGCTGTATTCCTGAGTTTTGCAGAAAAACAAAAAAAAAAATTTACTAAGAAGTACTGATCTAGGCAATTTCTTCACCTAAATTTAATGAATAATTCACTTATTTTATATTGATGTCGGAATTGTGTAATTATGGTACTAATACAAAATATGGACAGTTCCAAACATTACAACAGCAATACAATAATTCAGTGATATCACACATATCACTGTATGTGAAATAGTAGTTTTCATCATAATGCTCATCAACGGATACGATTATCTAAAGACAGAACGTACCCATTTGTAAACTGCATGATATTAAAAGTCCGGATGTGAGGACACTGATGCCCAAATCAAAATTTTCTTCTGCTGCATTGAAAGGAATCATAACTTCATGCACTGCTGCAGCTATCAATTTGCTATCAAGAACTCGCTCATTTTTTTCACATTGTATTATTGCCATCTTTTTATAAACCTAAACATCGCAAAATCATGAAGTCATTTTGACGAGATTTTTTTTTTTGCTATATCCTCTATTTGTAACAAGATAGCTATGCTATTAATGTTCACGCAAGCTATAAATAGATAACTTATTGGACTGAAAATAATTTTTCATCCTTTCATTGACTGTGAGAGGATGGAAAAAGTTTTAGCTCACAGTTGCATTTCCAAACAATTTGTTTCCGCAAAGCTATCAGTTAACGGCTGCTACTGAGTAACGGCATTTTTTAACAATGCTAAAATTTCTTTGTAAATATAAAATTCCGTTAAAAAGACTTTTAGCTTCGAAAAACTGCAACTTTACCTCTTGCGCAAGATCCGAAGTCACATAGGGAAATAAGAAATTTAAGAAAGCAGCACAAAATGTGTTGCCTTTATTGACAACACATTTCCTGATAATGTCGTTTGCATTTTTTCGTACTTCATAATCTGGCCAAAATAGACTCGTGAATAAAGAAAAAAATACATTTCGCATAGTACTCCAATTCTATAATAAAAAAGCAGTCAGGAATAAATAATGGGAGCATATAAAAGAAACGTGAAATATGAAAGCAATTTTTTCTCGCAAACTATCAAGAAAAATAACCTTGGTTTCTGTATTCCTGATCATCCAGTACGACAATTTTGCTACATATAAGATATCTGAAGTGAAGCAAACCATGAATTAATTGGATGAAAAGATGAAGAATGTTCTGCATAAAAGAACTCACACCAAAGGAAAAAAAAGTGCAGAATCATCATAAACATTTGCTTGCACATTTTAAACAACCGCATGCACCAACATTAGTATCAAACATTTTCAAATGTCCGAGTACCAACATTCCGCAAGAAGCAAAAATACATTCCTAGGGATATAAAAAAAAGAAATATCGAAGGTTATTGAATAATTACCAGACGTGTTCAAAGAAGCGATAAATTTCTCTTTGAAGAAATCATTTTCTAATGTTTGTCGAATATTTTCCCGAAATTTTTCATCAGTTAGAAGCAATAAAGATGTAACTATAAAATCCCCAACATTTGAGCGTATTTTATAGATATCGAAAACTGTCTTCAGTAAATCGTTGCTCAATTTCATTTTGCCTAAAAATCGCAAAATTCCTATTGAGTTTAAAATTAGTCACCTTTTATGCGCTCAGAAAATTTCATGATAGTAGAAAAAAAGCAATGGAATCACCGCGAATTTTAGGAAATTATTTAAAGCATCAAAAAAGAAAAAGGGAAAGTGAGAAAGTAATTCTTACCATTATCGGTATCATATACAGTGACCATGCTTCTCAATGTTAATGAACGGTTTGGTGACTTTAGGGAGGTCTGAAGGAAGTAATATCATTATACACTATCCAAAAACTGATTATTAATACAAGAATCTATGGGCGACATGATAAGTATGAAAAAAGTGCAATGAAAAAAAGATTGATAAGAAAGAGAACCATGAAAACCGGTTGCAACTTCTCCTCCACATTTGTAATCTGTGCTGACCATGCTAAAACCGCTTTCCACATAGCTTCCAAAGCAGTCTGATGGACTGAAAATATTTTGCCTGAGAAAATCCTCAATTTTCCCTGGATAGCCAAGAATAGCGGGTTTTTGTAAGCAATCTACAGAAAACAGACACAATAAATATGTACTGCACTGAACCATGGCAAGCACAGATTTTGCATTATTATAGGCAGATGAGCTTTATCTGTGCACAGACAAGCACAGATAAAGCTCATCTGCCTATAATAATTAAGAACAGCAATAATGACAATGACAGTCTATATGCAAAAATACATAAATAAATGACAGCTATTCAGATCAGTTAGAAAAAAGATGGGAAATAACCTTCAGAAATCAACAATGAGCTCAGTCTCTGCAAGATGTTCGAAGCAATAATGTCGCATTCAGCTTTATCCTTTACTCCATGACAGCTCATCAATTTCAGGGTTTCCAAGACAGTGATGCGCTGCCCAACAGTAGCCATTCTCCCATCAGATCCTCAAGCATTCATTTATTCTTTAAAAATTTCAAGAGAGCAAATTTAAAGAACTCTAAGTCAGATTTTAGGCAAACTTATCATTTGCCTTCCTCCTCACCATTGCCAATTTCTTGGCAGCCATGATTTTCAATGAGGGACCAATAATTTTCATGACAGTTTTTTTTTTGAATTGAATTATTAAGAACGATTTTAACAAACCTGAATAAGTTCCAAAAATTCCATCAATCAATCCTTTCAAAGCTTTAGGATCAGTTATTTTCTTTGCTATCATGGCAACAGATAATGAAGTATGACCACGAACTTCATCGATCGATGAAATTAACGATGCTGCAAAAATATCCGTAAGCGAACTTTATTGCTAAACTTGACCAAAACTGAAGTAGTACTCACCAGAGAGAATTTTATAGAACTCAACTGCAAAAGATGACAAATCAATTGTTATCGATTCTAGAAGATATAATATCCCTGAAACCAATGTCACCAGTCACACAAAACGAAGCAAGTAATAAGAAATAAAACAATAGTTCCAGCATGATTGAAGCAATAATAAACAAGCAAAGAACTTACTCCGGAAGACTCATTAATTCCGTAAAAGAAACAAAATATCTTTACTATTTTGCCTAATTCTCCAGAAAGACGTTGGAACAGCAAGAAACAAAATCTAACCGAAAATCGCGATCTCAGGACTGCGTAACATGGACTTTTTAACAACTGCCATGATTTCATCCCGGAACACTACCAAATTCATCCGCTTAAATATTTTGGAGCTAGCAATCTATAATAAATGGAAAGTAACGCATCAATGTATAAGTACAGGAAAAACATGCTGCTGAGAAACCTGGAGCTGGACTGGCGAAACTGAATACAAAATGAGAACAATACTACTACGAACTGCCCATTCCCTTTCAATTATCACTGCTTATTCATTCTTCTCTACTTTTAACCATCCCAGCTGCATCAGTTTTTAGATGAAAATCAAAAAAAAAAAAAAAAATCGCACATGAAAATCAAAAAAAAAAGTCGCACCACAACATGAACGTTTGGGCGATGCTTCGCAAGAAGAATGTCAGTAGCATAAATTTTGACAAAAAATGAAAAGTCGAAATATCCTTCATTGCAAGGTAGTAGACTCAGAAGAGCAAGGATTTTTACTCCAGAAGACGACTGAGCTGCATAATGATTCCGAATCCATTCCAAGGTTGTTTTCAGCAAGGCATTATTAAAGATAGTTTTCATATTACCTTGAATCTTTACAAATTTTTTACTGGCACAAGCATGTAACGCTCCTGACAACAGTGCTGACATCTGAAAACAAATCATGCATCGATTTCGGGCTGTACAAACTTTTACGATGATTTAACTGTTATGATGTTATGAATTGCTGCATAATTGAATTTCACATTAAAAGCTAAGAATTGAAGATTTAATTTAAGATTAATCATTTCCTTCTACACTGCATGCCTAAAATTAGTATGCGATATGTTAGACTAACATAACTACTGAAGACATTGGCGTTTTTCAAATCTATCAAATTACGGAGACCAAACAACCATCTGATAGCTAGAACTGAATTCGTAGTTAACCATTTTCTGAAAACAGAAATAAAAGAATTCACTGTTCACTCTTCATATTCAGAATAATTGAGAAAATCAAGATTTAGAAAGTTTTTTCATGTAACAGCTCACGAAGGTATTATATGAGATTCGAAGAATGATGTATACGCTTCTGCAAGGTGTTTCATAGAAGTTACTGGATCTTCACGCACAAGAGCTGATATAACGAGATATAATGAAGTTTGTGAATGTCGATTTGTAAGCCGAGTAAAACATGTTAGGATTGTTATTCGAATCAATGGCTTTCTTATCTGGTCAGGAATTTCTGCAAGAATCATTACCATAAAGCATGTTTGTGTTTTGCAAAACTTTAGCTGATAATATAAAGTTATTCCAGAAAAGAGTTGATAAAGATCAGGAAAAGATCCATTGGAATACCTGCAATATTAGAAAGTGTAGAAGTAAGCGACTGTGCGGCTATTTGGTGTTGTCTGGAGCTTGAAATATTCAAACTCTCCATATACTTACGACCCACAACCTTCAACTGTTCCAGTGACCCCTGCAATTGAGAGAGCAAGAAATTTTCTAAATTGAAAGGGGTGGAATTACAAAAATGATTACAAAATAACTCTACGTACGCGTTTTATTCCATAACTAACGTTCAAGTATTTGTACCTATTCTAGGACTTATAACAAAAGTGCTAGACATAAATCATTTCCTATACGACAGGCCAGGAGATGAAGCGTTACGACGTAGTGCTCCAAATAAACTTACTGCTAAATTTCAGCAGGGTTATTTTTAACCAAAAGAAAGAGGTATCAAATTTTTTTTGACAAAAGATAGGGTTGAATGTCGTAAGAGAGATAATGAGAATAAATAGTTTCGAAATTTTGAACTCTTTTCAAGAGAGTGCATCAATCATCAGGCCGTTGAAGGCGGTAACCGGGACTGAAATCAGTTATCGTGCTTGTATCTTTTTGCTATCGAAACAACTGAAAAGCGTATAGATGAATTTACCTGTGGATCGTTGTTCACTCTTTCTGTACCCATTTCCACGAAAACGAGTGATTTCCTAAAATAATGTAACCCATCTATTACATGTGAATATTACTTGTACAAACGTTTTCTTCATGTACAGAATGTCTTCAGCAAACTAAATCCTCCTAGCATTCCATCCACATCAAAACTGGCGCATCCTATCCTCCTCTTCTTAAAACATGATAGTGCTACCAACGGGTTTCAGTTCGTTTAGCTATCAGTTTTTTAATTTGTTTTGTTGGAAGTGTTGTTAAATAGTAAATGATTGATGGATGAGAGGAGAGGGAAAGAATGCCTGATATAGCTATTTTATTCTTTGAAACTTATTTACTGCATTGATAAATTAAGGCAATGCAGCCAAGTTTGGTGACTTGTCATTTGGATTACTTTCGTGAAGCTTCTAGGAAATATTAGATACCATTTGAAGTATGAAACTGGCCTATCAGTCTATGGCCACTATACTACTATTCTCCCCTATATAATGTGAGCGATATTGAATTTTGACTGTTGGCATAACCTCGATGAGGATCCGACATCGACGTAATAAGTGGGAGATTTGGAGAAATGTTTTCTGTGACATTCTGTTCTAAGAACTTTTATTTAATGTCGACATGATCACTGGACACTGGGCAGATTTGTAACGTTTTTGCAGTTCAAAGTTTTTTCAAATTCACATTCATATTTTGTTGACAAATTTACTGGTTAAAGTCGTTTAATAGTGACTATTTTGTTTAATTAAAAATTTATAGACGCCATGATGTGGCCGTCGCTTATGAATGGTCAGCTAACAATATGGATGATAGTTAGTGTTCAACTGCTGCGGTACAGTGACGGAGCCGCAGAGATGGATAACGAATTTGCGGAATTTGAAGATATGGAAGTAGAAGATATGAGTGATCGAGAATTTACCTTGAAGCCACACAGGGAACCTAACAAAGCCGCTGGGGACAAGTCAGCAGTCACCGTAATATCTTTTCTTAATTATTTATTCATTTAAATTTACACTTTCTCTGAACGAGAAATTGCATTATTTGGGACATCCATTCAAAATTTTTGATGTGTACAAGTGTTTCCATTAGCATTGCTGCTTGTCATTAATTCAAACTTGTCATTAATTCCAAATATTTTAATGTTTTGTTGCACCTGGTACTGGTACTTTGAATATTGTTAAATTTTAGGATGATAGTGATGATGATGAGTTTATTGACGTAGATGAATTTTCGAAGCCTATAAAAGAAACTCATCCGCAAAGGACTGAATCAGAAGCCTCGCCACAGCTCAGATTTGCTGACGTATGCAGATATCTTCTTTTTTTTTCATTTTATTCAATATTTGTGATTCTAGCATAAAGTTCTAGAGATACGTACTATGTTTCTAGTTCACGTCAGGATTGAATGATAAATGGATTATATCTCTTTAGCTTCCACTTTGTTAAGAGCAATTCAATTCAGGTGCCGGCTCATTTTCGCTCGAACTGGGCATCATATCAGGTGGAAGCTTTAGTACTGTCAATTCTGGCAGTTTATATGTTAAATTACATTTTTGGTCGTATCAAAAATCGAAACATTGCAAACAAATGGTTTATGGATGTAACCCCATTTCTGGAAGAACAATTTACACTAGTAGGAGATGATGGTACATCAGAGGACTTGAGAGAAGGTCACATCCATAAAGAAACTGATTCTGTTTATACTATTTGGTGAGTTTCTGGTGTTATCCTTGTGATTATCTGTTTAGGTAGCGACCTTACTTGTCTTTTATTTTTTAAGTGTATGAGAACTCAAGCGACTTTTATATTGCGGTTTTTTTCTCAATAATGTCGATTACCATTTGGTCAAGAACTTTATAGGTAGCAGTTTAAAACTCTTTTCCTATCATTTTTCAATTGTTCTTTAAAGATTTTATTATTCTTTTTCTTCCTTACAGTGTCAGCCTCTAACCAGTCCATTTAATCAATGCAGTAATTGGCTTCTTTATAGTTCGTACAGTACTTTACTGTGAAAATTTATGGAAGTTGATTTCACTTCTGCAGTCATTAAATGTTTTTAGTAGTACAGAATGGGACGGTGTTATGGTTACAAATAAAGATATACTCGTAAGCATATTTTTCACAGTCATGTGGAAGGCAATTTTGATGTACTTCCAGGTGCTCAGGTCGAGTTGGCTGTCAGGGAATATTAATTACTTTGGAATTGTTGAAACGGCAGGATTTAATCCATGTTGTCATGAATTTTATTCGTCCGAAGCAAGATAAAGTTTGTAATTTTCATCATCTTATTGAGAAAGTCAGCAGTTATTTATTTCTTATTAAAAACGGGAAACTTGATTGCAGGTTATAATACGTATCGATGTGGACAACAATGAGATGGATTCATTTGTGTTTGCTATTGGACAACGAAAATCAGTGACCAAAGCAGCCAAAGAAAAGATGGACCTTGTATGTTCTCCTTGATGCTATTCTCTGAAATCCCCATTTGATGAAAGTAATAATTCTGTAATGGAAAATGTAAATTTCCAGAGTTTGTTCACAGTAGAACGAAAGGGAGTGGATAGATTAGGACTTCCGTCCTCGATTGTGGTTTATGCAGAAATGTTTGAAGCTGTTAATGCAATTATCGACCCAGTGATTTTATCAGTGTTTCGAAAATACGAAAGCGCCATTGATTATTTCCACTTTTCAGATCAATATTCTGGTTATAAACCTTCGGAGTGAGTTCCTATCATCTCAGAAATCCACTTTAGCGAATATCTGAATTTAACTTGAATTATTAGGATTGCCACATCTTATTGTACCGCATGCTGCTTGCTTTTTAAGCCATGTTTGTTTTTTTATCTGATTTGGCACTACAATGATTTTACTTTAGGCATCAAATCTGTTCTGTTAACTCTTTTTCCTCGCCTTTAGGATAACGGAATTCCACCATATGGTTCAGCATAAGACAGTTGCTTATTCTCTTCAATTCTTCTCCAATTTTTTTGTATTTAGCCTATTATGCGCATCTACTATGTGTAGGGTTCTTAGTAAAAATTCGGGAAACTATCGTTACTCAGGTCAAACTAAATTGTCGGTTCTCAATTCCAATGAACATTGGTGGGAAAGACACCAACTGTTTCCGCTCAGCTAGACCAAAAATAAAGGAGGCACATAAATGAACATAAAGTGGTTAAACCTGTTGATTAATTTCTGGCCATACTATGGTAGGTGAGTAGTGAATGGGAAATAAGTCTTTTGATGGCATGTTTTTTAGTGGTGAATCATTTACACGGTTACCAGAAACGAGTCGAGTGCTGTTTTTCGCTTTCAAAATGAGCAATAATATGGCAGAAATTGACGCGTTGTTACGAATGGTATTTCACTGTTTCGAAAAAATAAGGCGTTATCGACTTTCAAGAGAAGGCAAATTAAAGGTTCACGGTTTTTACTTTTTATTCATTGATGTCTTTTCTGCTCACTTCGAAAAAATAATGTCCATAAAGGTGTTTTTATCGAAACTTGGTAATTTTAATCCTCATGATGTTCTAGTTCTAAACAAAGGTGTCATATATAATTTCCAGGCGGATAAAAAGCGTCAAAGCGTGCAGGAAGCCTTCCTAAAAACAACACACCAGGCAAGACAGGAAGCAGCTCAAGCTCGTCGGGAAGAAAAAACAAGAGAACGCAAACAACGCCTTCTAGAGGAGGAAGATCCCGAAAAGCAACGAAGGCTAGAAGTAGGTATTAAAGTAGATTTTGATTGTGCACTTGCTAGCTCTTCCTTTTATTTTGAATGTTCTTTGCAGAAACTAGAACAGAAACGTGATATGAAACTGCGGCAGCCAAAAATGAAACAATTAAAAGTCAAATGAAGAAGCAGTACTATTCGAATTTACTTACCGACAAAGATGAGAAAATATTTAGTAAACTAAAGAAAATCTATGAAATGACATCTTTGTTCACGGGTGCCATTATTTTACTTTTCCATTTTGTTATCTAAATGGTTGCTTTGCTAGGCATGGTGATGGTAGTCATTTTAAAAACTTGAATGAACAGAAAAGAGAAGAATTTTAGAGGATTAGCTTCCCAAGTTACTGGTAGTATGTATTGACAGCGTGAAAATCTGTATACCCTCCCAGTAAAAGTTAGGGCAACTAGATTGTTATTAGATTGTTCCATCGCTAATATTTCTGAGTTTGGGTTGAGCCCAAACTGTATGATATGCTTTGGATTTTTTAATCGTAAATAAACGATAAAAGATACCTACAAACATATAATATTGATTTGCTAATAAATGGTAGTTCATGCTTTCTTTTCGGAATATTTTGGTATACTTGATACAGTTGAGAGATGCAAGTTTTTGATATTTCAGTATATTCCATTTTTTGGAATGGTTTAGAGATGCTCTCATCAGAAGGGTTTGGTGTAAATAGCCTGTACGAATACTCGATCAACTGAAATGTCTTTTTGGTGATTGACAGTTTTTCGTAAGAGGTATGTATTTGTTACTTTGCAAAAACCTTGTTCAATGAATAGTTCGTCCAGTTCTTCTGAAAGCAAAAACCTTTTGAATTAGTTGTCCATAATAATGTGAGATCTAAAAGAAAAAAATAAGAATTTAAAATATCACAGTGGGTTAATTACTTTGATAACTTACCGAAGTAACCTTCTATAAAAGTTAAAAACTGCACCTGATTTGAAGTAGTAAGTCATCGTCCCATCCTGTTTTGCATAAAATCGCTCGTCCAATTTGCACCCTCGGCCAAATCGAAGCATAGCATTGTCATTGATGCCGTAGTCACGAACAAAAACCACACCCCGAAATTTTACCAGATTGAATAGATTCTTCACTGCTTGCTGCTGCTTATAAGGGGGAATTGTGCTGAGGACAAAGATTAATGATGCTACGTCAGCTGCTGGAAAATCCAAAGAAAAGCTATCGCAGGTCAAGTCTGCAACTGCAGTACTGATTGACAGATTGCTCGCTTTACTGCGTTCACGTAGTAACCGAATGGCGTTATCTGAGAAGTCAAAAGCATAAAAGTTCCAGTGCGGGTAAAGATGCATCAGGGGGAAAAGTAAATTACCAACACCACATCCAGCTTCCAAAAAATTCAAGCTATCCTGCAAAAGCAACAAAAACTATTGAGAGAAAAAAAGAATCAATAAACCATACAAAATTCTTATATTTCTGTTTACCACTGATTAATACTGTTGTTTATAATGACAGAATGAGGCTACAGATTCATATGTTACCGACCCACTTATCAATACATCAATACCAATTTACTACTGATTCAACCTTAATGTATCCAATGTTCTGGTGATAATTTCTGAGATAAGCACGAATAGAAGTGTACCACATCTATCGGTTAACCTGTAAATTGATATGCTGCTTCAACAGTCCATCAAGTTCGTACTGGGTCCACCATCTATCTTTGAAGAAATTATTCTTATTTCGCAGATAAAATTTATCCCAGTTCTTTCGCAATCCTTCTTGTAGCTTTATCCGCTTGAAATCACTTGCTAGCACTTGTTTTCGTATTTTTTCTTTCTGCTCCTCATTGAGCTCTAGAGGTGACGAATATGTTGTGGCTTGTGAAATGCCAACTGAATAACGATGTTCACTAGAACTTGCAATCGATGCGTTCATATCACTGCAAATAAAAGCTTATATTTTCATCGAAGAAATTAGACTTCACTCTCGGAAATCTTAGAAAATTATGCGAAATCCCTCCATCGACCAGCAAATGGATTCAACTGCTGACAAAAAAGTGAAGCGGTACCAATCTTTCAAAAATAAATAGTTCAGAGCAGCATCACATCTACCCGGTTACAATTGTTTTAATATATCGACTTCTCCAATCGCGACACGATGGTAACTTGCCAAATCTATCACTGCAGTCAGCAAATTTTAAAAATTTGTCAATTTGGTGATTGCTCGATGTTTATAATGACACTAGCTTTTGTTAATAGCCGGTACCATTACAAACATCGAGCCAGAATACTGCCATTTACAATAACTGCCTGCAGGTAACGGTATTAGATCACATGTTCCGACTATTTCTTATTTAGAATTTCTAACTATTCAGTGATTATTTAATAAATCAACTCCATTTATAGTTCATCCCACTACAAAAGTAACAGCTGAAAAACTATATGACTTGCTCATCGATCTCAAGGAAGAGAATGAATAATCGATCTGCCGCAATCAAAGATAATTGTGAAAAATGCTTTCTTTATAAAGCAAGTAGAAAACTTATATAGCAAGTAGAAAATTTATATACAAACGGTTTAGAAAAAGTGTCTCATTCAATCAGTAACCAAGAGTTTCAATTGTAAAGAGGATTCGCAAATGAGAGAGCCTGAAATTGAAGGCTAAATTCAAGGTGGGAAACAACTTATTCTAACGAAAAAGAAAATACGCCAGAATACAAAAGTTACAAAATACAGATTGTAAGTTATGTTCGACATAACACATACGTTTCTTCTCCAACAGTTTTTAACCGTGAAAATTTCAATGAAATAAATAACAAATAAATTAAAACAGCTAGAAGTGAAGTTCTCCACAAAGTAATCAACCAAACAGTAAAATTATAAGAGGAATTATGCTAGAGGACGCGACTATTTTTCCAGATAACAAATAATTTATCATCAGATTAAACAAAATAGTCGGAAGAGTTATTGAAAAGTCAATTGTTTTTGATGCCTAACGTGCTCTCCAATTCAGCTCGCTTTTGTTGCACTTTGTGATAGATATAACGAAAAGTGCCCTCCATGATCTGAGGTTGATAATAGTACTCAGCACGACGTTCAACTTCGCTGTCACCAAATACTTCTGTCATTGTCTGAAAAAAAAAGCCGAAACAGCCAACTTTAGAGCTCTATTCTGTGCTCGTCAAAAACTTGAGCTCTGACTTACAAATATGGGATCGGAACCAGAAAAAAAAAAAAGAAATCATGGGATGAATAAGGCATGATAACCAGAATGCGAAACAATTTAGGAGGTTTATATGAGTTCACGTCGAAGTAGCATTACCATTACGATGCGCACTGCACATACTAAGTAATTGCGTCAAGCTTCTATTAATTCTGTAACCCAAACGCTTGAAACAAAACGTTACAGTTATGTCCAGCCAAACATTATAACAAATATCATACCTTCAGATCATTACTTTGAGAAATCAACCACTTGTGGATAAATTCCTGCGGATTGTCCGCGAAACGAACATAAAAATCTCGTCGAAGCTTCCATTCATTGATCTGTTCCACGATATCAAAAATTTTCTGATCCAGTGCACTTATATCTGGCATGTTAGCGTGGCTATGAAGAAATGAAGTCATTTGTGTTTTCAGAGGGTCTTCCATTTCCACATCTATGATTAAAAAAAATTATCCAATACCTTCCACAATTCTGCTAACTTATATTCGTCATTTCCTCAACAGTTCTTGGAATCCGCGAAAAATTATTTAGAGACTTGAAAATTCGCCAACCTTTTAAACAAGAGACTTCTGATCTCTAACATCTTGCTATTAATGAATTGTAAAAACCATACAGGCTGCTCTATTCGATAAAGTTACTAATGACAAGACATGAATGACATTCGCGACAAAAATTACCAATATCATAACATGCCGTATTTTTCTCATTTCCTTCACTGTACTGAATAGTATGATGCAGAATCAGAGGATCAGGCTGGTGCAATAAACTTTGAAGACGTTGAGGTATTTCCATAAAACGCATCCGCTTTACTCCAAAAATTTGCTCTAAATAGGAGTCGCAATTTATGTTATCGCGTTCAATCTGATCCTGAAAATACTCTGACGAAGGGTAAAAGTCTGATCCTGAAAATACTCTGACGAAAGGTAAAGCATAATTTTTTGAATATTTAACACAGAAGTACTAATTGTAGAATCATAAAATGCTTTTGGGAAACTTATACCTGCAATTTGTGCGTTTTTATATACTGCCAAAGGGCTTCAATAATTTTTGGACGTGTTTCCGTAGCCATTCCAAGTACTTTTCCTAATCGTGGATGCAATTTAAATTTCATCGGTTGGTAATCAAGTAATAAAAGAATAGTGCATTTGACATCTCGGTCTCCAGGCCTTTTAACCTAAAAAAAATTGAATGAAAAATAAGTGTATAAATATTGATAGAACAAATTGCGTTCCATAATGTTCCGGTGTAACTCCAAAAATCTATGAATTTCCAGAAAAAACCTGAAATCCATCAGTTTCATTCGTTTGGGGAGTTCGATGCCATTCAACAAGATGATTGTCGGGTCCATAAATTTCTTTGTCCAATTCGATGACCAAACTTTTGAAGAACGAACTGAATTTCCGTTTCAGTGGTTGATTTCGATTTTGCGCAACTCCACCACCTGCAGCACCTACGCCTACCGATGGTTCATCCAACAGACGTCCTTCGACTCGTAGTTCCCACATTGGTACAGTGCCTTCATCGCCCTCCCTCTGGGAATTATTAAGATAAAAAATTATTCTCATAGATGAATAGAAACTTTCGACTAATTACTTTCATCTCCGTCCTATACAAGGGACAGTAAGGTTATTCTATGCAGAAAGATGCATAATCATAACAAGCTGGGTATGATCTAAGCTCATGAAGCCATTGTTAATTCATTCAAAAGTTTGAAGTAGAATTATTTTCACAAACCTCAGGTTCTTTGCCAGGTATGAATGTATGTGAAATGTATATTCGAAGCCGCCTTTTTACTTTTATTGGCCTTTTTAAGGCTTCTTGTATATCCAGCTTCTTTCTTGTAATGGTGGCATCAAGCTTTTGTTCGAAAGCTAGGAGATCCATGTAGGCTTGAGATTCTGGTACAAGTTCCCGAACCTTAAAAAAATCAAAATGTAGAAAACGAAGCATTTCAATTATCCCTCTTCTATCAGGGAAATATTCCCGAAGTACAAAGCTGAAACAAGTTTGACACCTCTTTGTAAAAGTTTGATCGACTTTGTTTTCAAGGTTTTCCAATCGCAGCTAGTAAGAGAATTAATTTATACTGATCTAATTAATGTCTATAAACATCTGAAATTACTATTTGAAGGAAGGGATACAAAGTGTTAATAGGACCAATACAAGCTCAAATTTCTACCACGAAATCGACCTGGAATAGTATGAAAACAAAATCTCCGAAACATTTTGCAAAGAAATAGCAAAACTACATTTACTGTAACCACGGATTTGTTCCTGCGGTACAGTTCACTTTATAATCAACAACAAAAACATAATGTCACCTGCATAGGTAACAGCTTGTCAACCAATTTTCGTTTCTTTGCACGATTTTGCATCTGACTGCGAGTATTGTGTTGTGGTGGAAGCATCGGTGGAGCACCAGCAGGCTGCGGAGCAAATGACCGTCGACCATGTTGTGCATTTGGTACTGCTCCGCCATATCTAAACAACAAGGAAATAAGTATTACGCCAACCAATTTTACCCTGCTGTCAATAAATTTGCAACTCCAATAAACAAAAAATAATCAGCCATACATAACAATATCATTAATTTTTCCTTGCTTCAGAATAAGCTATTCTTCTACAAGCACTGAAAAATTTACCGGTTCAGTGGACACAATGATATCACATCATAATAGAATATGAAATAAGATTCGAAATACCAAACTACCAGAAAATAAATACTGCTGTTGAGTCATTTATTAGTAGTGTAATTAAAGTTACAGAAAGAAATGAGTGACAAAGTAGACTGCATTACGTTTCAATATGCTATGGAGTCTTTACTTTTAAGGATACTTTATAAAAAGCAAACTTTTTTATGAAAAGTTTTACTATCTCTTACAACTATGAAAAGTTCTACTCTTTTAATGTCATAACAGTTATATCAACAATATTTTATAACCCGCAAGCTAAGTTTGAAAGACGCACAGCTAGAACTCAACAAAATACGACAGAAAGTGAAACAGCACTTATCAATCCACACATAAAGCATAAACCATGCAAACTGGCAAACAGTAGAATATATTACGCTTATTTAGTATCATTGAAAGTGATTGCAGAAATGAATACTTCTATCAAAGAATTACCTGATATTAGAACCGTTATTGGATGATACTGTTGCACTACCTCGATGCATCCCTAAAACACTTCAATATGTACTACAACATCTAGAGATAAACATAACACCCAAGCGCCACTACCACCCATACACATCATGCTTTCGTCACCTTGACAGCTATGGTTTCGTTTCATGTGAAACCTTTTGAGTACCAATGGTCCTTGTTATGGTACCAAGCTGAGGAACTACGCGATGCGAGAGGGGGGACGGAAGGGAGAGACACGTTTCAGTGTGGTCAGGAATGGCATGTTCGTAACAGGTGGTATCCAAAATTTAATGCTTAGAGAATGCCAACATTATATATCGGCTGACAGACATCTATTACTAGGAAGTTCATCGCGAAGTACCTCTAAAGGTTAGCTATCGAGATATGTGGAGTTCTTCGGCAAGAACTTCCTATCTTTTCAGGTCAATTGATTGCTATAATGGGCCACAGGGTTCTACGCCATATATCAAGCTTTCATTCATCGCTGACACTCAGTAGCAAACATTCGCATGTTTGGGATATATTTGCATCGGTAGCTCTTGTAAGGCCACCTTTTACTGCACCACCAATGAGTGATATTGAAAAACGTTATCACGATTTTATGCTTCAAAGGGAATTGGAAGACTCACTTCGATGTGATTTTGAACTGCGGCAGTTAAGAGATGAACGGTGTTTCTTTGTTACCGTTTACTCGAATTCAATTGTTTTCTTTATTTGTCTTATTTTCTAAACTATCTGGTAGTCAGTATCTTTTTCTCTATAGTCTCTTTTTTCCTACAGTTTTATTATAGGCTTCTTAAGGAAAGAGCAAGATTGAAATTGGGTGGTGAAGAAGCTAATCCAGAAGAAGAAATAGGAATCCTAGCTTCCGTAGACGAAGAGAACTGGCGGAAGGAGGCAGGTCGAATTCGCAAAAAGCTTGCAATTGGGGATCTCACCAAGGTAATTCCTTATTTAAAGCATGCTATTTTTATTATTTTTAATGGCAATAAGAAATCTATTAGTGATATGAATTAACCACATATTCAGTTTAGGACTGTGATATGCAGAAGAAATAGGCGTAATTTCAAAACGTTTCAGATTTGAAGTATAGAATAGTGCATGTAGTTGCATTATGTTTCACACCATAAACTCACCGAATAATGACGTAATGTTTTTGTGTGCTCGTAACTGTTAAGTTAAGCTGAAAAAAAAAAGTTCCAATGCATTTCATGTTTGTGTCCAAAATGCTATGTTCGTTGTTTAATTGTATGACGGAGATATTTATATCTTTGTTGTGTCGTTTTTGCAGTTTTCAAAAGCTGATACCAGAAGCTTGCAAAGGAAAATTGATGAATTTCTTGTGCTTATTGTATGTCAGAAATTTGGACGGAAGGACGGTTATCGTTCGCCGTGGCATTTACCTCAGTTACGAATTCTTCCAGGCGAATCACTGAAGCAAGTAAGAACTATCAATAAGTTGGTTCCATTTTTTCGATTGTGAGTTACTGTTTCATGCATTATTGATGTTAATGTATTTTTCATTTCCTGTCTGTTACAAATATATCAAGTGGAGTGAAATTCTTTATATCAGCACAGACTAACTTTGAATTTTCAAAGTAAAAATAATGTATCTACTTTCCTGTGAGGGATAAAAAATTTATTGCAGACTTCAGAGCGCTGTCTCAAGGAACTATTTTCCATTGAAATTCATGGAAAAGGAATAAACAGTGCACCATTTTCCGTCTATTTTTATTGCTACCCTGCTCAACTACGGCAACGATTAAAAACACATTCACGAGGTGCTGCGGTAAGTTGGCATATCATTATAGGTGCTTTATCAATTATTTATGGGCAGCTACTGTGAAGTTTAGTCATAGAGTTGGTTTTCCAGTTATGACTGTTTTAATTTGGTAGATTTATTATATGCAGGAAATAATTGTGATCTGTTACCTTTTTTTTTTTGTCTGAGCTGGTTTTTTTTTTTTAATTGAGCTGGTTTACTTTTTGTCTTCAGATTTCGAATTACAAAAATCTCTTCTGCGGGCCATACATTACTTGTTAAACGGTTTTCCCGATTGATGAAATCAGCTGGTTTTATTTACAGGTTTTTTTCTTCAAAGCATTATATATGAATCGTGTTCCGCTGGTGGCCAACAAAGACGAAGTTGCAGATTACAAATGGGTCAATGCAGAAGAATTTGCTGCAAGCGTAAGACATAAGATGTCTTATCTTCGGGCTTTGTCAACTCTTTTCCCTTCCTATCTTTTAGCGAAAAACAGCTTTGAATATGCTGAAGAAACGAAATCTCACAAAACTCGGTCAGAAACAGAAGTACTGAAATAGTCGTCTTCGCATTGTAAGCTTAGTTTTTGATTAACTAGTTTTTATTTTGAGAAAGTGCTCCATATTGTATACAAGAATTCCTGGATATTTTGAACTTTTCACTTGTTTTTCCGAATGATTAAAAAAATGGGGATTTCGAAAAATTACTGATATACTATGCTTTATTTTGGGATATGGATTTTAGTTCAGTGAGGTAACAGAGATAACATCTAAGCTCGAAAGAAGTAATTAAAATGTAAAATATAGAGCTGGTTTAAAGACAAGTTAATTCAAGCTTATCCCATGTGCATTTGTTAAAAGTTACAGAATTGTAATAATAATTGTAAGCTTAAATGAACTTGAAATGGTATAGTGGTAAAGAAATGGTATTTATAGTGATAAAACCAGAGGCGCTGAAAGTAGTTTGATGGGATATATCAATTATTTATCTTGCTAACAAGAAGAAATATTGGTGCTTGTCGAGTCATGTCGGAAAAAAAACAACATAGGCACTTGACTCAGGCGAATAGCCATTACATGTTACTTACCCGTGCTTTATTTTTCCCCTTGTTAACATTTTTATACTAAAGCAACCAGATCGGAGTTTTGAAAACAATGTGATAAAGTTACTAATAATAAAGTAATAAAGACAAGATTGTGATGAACAGTATTAAAACAATCGGATTGACGAAAAGAATAATTTAGTCATCTTTAGATTCAGGACAGTTTAGATTTAAAATTCAAGCCTAAACGCTTAAAATTCAAGCTTAAAATTCAAGCCTAAACGCAGTGTGTTCTGAAAACGAATATAAATCAACTTTAATAGCAATCTTTGTCTTCTGTTTCCAACAAAATATCAACCGACTCTCAACTGATTGAAAATCCTAA